AAATAGGGATGATTTGAAGGCGTCAAAAGGGGAAACTTTGAGGTGATTGGGAATGACCCTTGTAACAGAGTCTTCATATATATATGAAAAATTCATGTCTAAGAAAACAAAGAAGGAAATAGGAGGGAAAGAGAATGAGTGAGAGAAAGTTATCGGTTTTTTCTGTTAAGAGAGAATGTTCTAAATTTTGGAGAAAACGCGTAGGATTTAAATCTGAGTGAGAGAATGTTAATAGACAAATCCATCTTCTAGTTTGTTTGTTTTTTAATGTAATTTAAAATACTGATTTAAATCTGCGATTTTACGATCTTTTTCAATCAAAACGATTTCATCAAAATTCCAAACGCTTTTACGATTATTTACGATTTTTGTTACGTTAAGATTTTACGATTTACGATTTTTTATCCTCCTTCCGATTTTAGATAAAATCTCGATTTTAACTACCATGATTAAGGGGTATACTTCTGCAATGCACCATTGACCCATTCAGTACCAGCAGATGCAGCTCAATATCTTTAACTTTTGTCAATAAATTTAGATAAAAATAAATAATGATTACTTAAATACTTATCATTGAATACTTGAAAAAATCCATAATCTAACAGCACACTATTTGATGGAATTATTATTTTTTACATTATCAGTAAATCAAAATTAAACCCTTAATATTAACATTTTCATTAATTCAAAAAATGAAAAGGAAAAGGAAAAGGAAAAAAGATTTTATGAAAAAGCAGGTAAGTGGTGTCGCACTAATCTCCATTAGCGACACGTTCTCAACGTTTTTCAAGCTGAAAAAGCAATTGATTCACAATTTCGTTAGCACTGCGGAAGACTTAGGTCTTCAAGGCAGCAAATTGTCATCAATGGTATGATGAAACACAATGTCAATTGGGGGTCAAAGGGAACGTGCAGCGTGACATTCTTTATGTGGCTTTTAATAAATTAATTATGCATTTATTACAGTTTTGAAAATAATTACACATTTATTGCACAATAAGACGCCCATTTTGGGCGTCACCAGTGACGCCTAAATTAGGCGTCACTAGAGAGGCAATCACGCTTAAATTTGGGCATATTTTTTTTTTCAAAAAAATAATAATAATTTAATCATAAAACTTCTAAAGGTCATAACTTTTGACTCGGGTATCCAAATTAAGTAATTCTTTTTTTTATTCCACATAATTTAATCATTTTCTTTTATTTCTCACAAACACAATTTAAATTTGCAAGAATGGTATTAAAAAAGCCGTTAAATCCAGAAGCCTCTGAATTCTGGGTTTGTGATTTAATATAAAAAAACAAATAAAATTTTGATTTGTGATTTAAATTTTTTTTATAATAATTTTTTTTATTATAACAAAAATTTGGTTTGTGATTTAAATTAAAAATTATTATTAATAAGGAAACAAAATAAAGATTTGATTTGTGATTTAAATTAAAAAATCAATTTAAAAAATCTGTAGAAAAAAAGGAAGTAATTAAATAAATATTCTAAATCTCTAAGGAAGAAGGATATTATTTTTGAAATTAACGATTAATGTTATAAGCTTCTGGGTTATTATTCGTGGTCTGAAATTAATGATGGCTTATGAAAGTTTTTCAAAAATAAAATTACCTAAATTAGGCGTGATTGTCTCTTGATTGAAACTTAATTTAGACGTGATTGGTGACATGTCAGGTGTTGACACGTGTCACATTTTTAAAATCAAAAGTCTCTGAGTTCTGGATTTTTTATTTAATATAAAAAATAAATCAAGATTGATGTGTGATTTAAACTAAAAAAATAAAAAAATTATTTTTATTATAAAAAAAATTTGGTTAGTGAAATTAAAATAACAATTATTATTAATAAGGAAAACAAAATAAAGATTTGATTTGTGATTTAAACTAAAAAATCAATATGAAAAATCTGTAGAAATAAAGAAAATAATTAAATAAATATTCTAAATCTCTAAGGAAGAAGGATATTATTTTTGAAATTAACGATTAATGCTATAAGCTTCTGAGTTATTATTCGTGGTCTGAAATTAATGATGGGTTATGAATGTTTTTCAAAAATAATATTACCTAAATTAGGTGTGATTGTCTCTTGATTGAAACTCAATTTAGACGTGATTGGTGACGGGTCAGATGCTGACACGTGTCACATTTGGAAACTCAGAAGTCTCTGAGTTCTGGGTTTGTGATTTAATATCAAATCTTTATTTATTTTTTAATTTAAATCACAAATTAAATCTTTATTTATTTTTTTATATTAAATCACAAACTCAGAACTGAGAGGCTTCTCGGTTTAACCGCTCTTTTAATACCTTTCTTGCAAATTTAAATTATGTTTGTGAGAAATAAAATATATCAAATGAGATGTCATTGCGTAGATCTCGAAAAGTTATATGGAATCAAAAAAAGAATTACCTGATTTGAATACCCGAGTCAAAAGTTATGACCTTCAGAAATTTTATTATTAAATTATATTTTTTTTGGAAAAAAATATGACACGTGTCAACACCTGATGAGGGACGCCCAAATTTAAGCGTGATTGGGCGTCATTGGTGACGCCCAAAATAGGCGTCTTATTGTGCAATAAATATGTAATTAATTCCAAAACTGTAATAAATACATAATTAATTTATTAAAAAGCATTAAATATTTTTTTTTTGCCTAAACCTGCCTAGTAAATATTAATCATTATTATTAATTAACAGAGGGTGTGTATGAAAAAAAAAATTGTTGATAAAGGAAAAATTCACTTCGTTGATCTCTACGCATCGAAAGGACTAGTTTCAGTTGGAGGATACCTTCGAGAAACTCTAAAAAAAATAAAAAAAAATCTTACTATAAATGAAGGGTTAAATATCATTGGTATGTTGTCCTGAAATCCTAATCCTTAATAAAACTGTTACCGGGTGCACACACTCCTTTTGTCTCTCTACCTATTATTTGTGCACAGGCTTCTCCATAAACACTCTAGTTCACAAATACCATAGCAAGTTCGACCCACTAGATAGGATATTGTTGTTGTATGTGAGAAATGATTTTATTTTATTTTGGATAGGGTCTGTGAGAAATGATAAAGTTCGATTGAAGGCAGCAAATTGTCATCAGTGATATGATGAAACACAATGTCAATTGGGGGTCAAAGGGAACGTGCTGCATACATCCACTTCCTTTTCAAAAAAGAGTAAAGCGTCAAAAATACTAGAGCGCTTTTATCGAAACACAATTATAAATTTGTAATTTGGGATAGGATATTGTTATTATCAAATAATATTATTATTATATCTTAATCGTTGATTTTCGTCAATCAACAATTATTATTTTCACAAATTAAACTTATTAATTAATTATTAATTTACAATAAATAAAAATTATTAATTGACGAAAATTAACAATTAAAATATGATAATAATATTATTTGATAATAACAATACTAAAGCGCAAAACATTCAAAAGCTTATCCTTTCATTTTACTTGCAATGATTCAATCCAAGAATCCTTCAAAACCCATCATGTTAAAATTACATGGATATCCGAAATATTTGCTGAGATCTGATAAATAATAATATTATAAAATTATAACAAATGAAAAGACAGAATTTAACACGATGCAGCAAATTAAATAAATATTTATCATTATTATTAATTAACACAAATCAAGGGAGCCTTGTATACATTACTCTGGCAAGAGAATCAATTTTTCATTATGGCCATTACTATTACTAGGAGTGTTCGCGGTCTGAATTGGATCAGTTTTGGAAGCAAAAATCATCTGATCCAATCTCTTCGGTTTGATTATAATCATCCATCGGTTTGAATTTTTTTTCAAATCCGATCCGATCCAATCCAATTTTTTTCGATTTGGATCGATTTTTGGTTTTCTTAAAAACCTAAAATTTATTTCATGATTATTGTGCAAATAGCATCTTTTGTATATATTGAGTTTGTAAATTTTTTTTTTTTAAATACAAAAACATTCCTAAACTATAATATAGTTTTTATTTTTGGCAATGAGATATATCTACAAAGATAAAATTTAGTTGATGAGATATGACTAGATTTTTCTTAGATTTAGTTGATGGGTTAACGGGTCTTGGGTTTAGAAATTTTTAGGCTATGATTAGATAAAGACCCAAGTAGGTAGAGGAAAATTAATATATTGGATCGATTTTCATCAACCCATCCAAAAATCGATCCAATCCAATTAAAATTTTGCGATTTTTTTCGGTTTATTCAGTTATTGATTTTTCGGTTCGGTTACCACGATTTGAATCGGTTTGGATCGGTTGATGAACACCCCTATTCATTACAGTCCACAACAATAGAATCAATCAAATCCCATAAACACTAATCAAATCCAATACTAAGGGCTTGTTCGGTGTGATATATAAGGCCTGATAGTATAAGCTTATACTATACGTTATGACATTTTCAGTTATTTGGTATGATCATCGTATAGTATAAGCTTATGCAGCAGAATTTCTTTATACATCAAAATGATGTATAACTTAATCAATCCTGAGAATATAGAATTGAGCCTGATAAGGGATTGATGTATTAATGTTGCTTAAAAGTACAATTCCCAAAAACTAATATATCATTTCAATATTAATATATTAAAATAATTTTTATTAATATATTAATTTTTAAAATATTAAAAGATATTATCTTATACAATACCATACCAAATGCAGGATAGTATTAAAATTTAATCAGGTCTTATACAATCAGATCTTATACTATCAAGTATTATACTATCAAACCTTATCACCAAACATGCCCTAACACATTAATCATTATCACTTAATTAGTGTTCTCCACCCTGGCTGGAAAATGAATACAACGGTAAATCATTTTGAAGAAACTATCATCAACACTATATGGAAACAAATTTCACTTACAGATGGCTCAATTAACCAATAATTTTCACCGAAATATTTGGGACAAGAAAGTTATAATGGAGTTAATCACCATGGAAATAACTAAAACAATTATCCAGTGTATTAGGGGTGTTTGACAAATAAATGCAAATGCCAATACCTTTCCATGCACCCAATGAGAATCTGGCTAAAAAATGAATTGCTGAATCATTCATATCGCTAATAATAAGAGTAGGTAATAAGAACTTGGTTACACACCACATCAGCCACAGCTTTAAAATAATATTAAACAGCTGGCAATGACGCAGAGAGATACGTTATTAGAAGACATACTCAAAGTCCAGATGATCGTAATCTAAGACAAAACTAGACACTTCCAAAGTTTAAATATCTTTAGCCAATGCAGCGAAATCATGATCTGTCAATTCCTTCTCCTTGGGTTCAGGAGAAGCTTTTTGCCGACGATACTCCTCAATAGGTATCCCTCGCCTGACAGAAGGTGAGGAAGACGACTCTCCATCAAATACGGGTGTAGAATTTACAAAAACATCAAAAAAGCCATTCTTCATTTCTTCAGCTGCTTCAAAGAAACGACTGAGACCTCCGAAGAGGTTTCTTTCCATGACTTCGATATCACTCCGCAGCCCAGGCAAGTCAAACACACCACGATCTGATGAGCTGTATGATGAGCTAAATGCGGGAGACCCTCCTTTAAGCAACTTATGTGTGACATCCTCTTCGGTATACTCTGTGTGTGATTGCACCACTTCAGCAGGCCTGGGAAGAGAGAGAGGTATAAAAGAGATCAGAATTTCAGTGGCATTTAGAAGATACTGAGTCATGCAACTGTTACTACAGTGAGAGCCACAGATTAGAATCAACCTATATAGCATGGAAAATTTAAAAATAAAGAATGGAAACTTTAAAAGAGCAGCTGTGTCCATATCAATTACTTCAATGGAGCACTTCCAAAATAAGCACAGAACCTAATGCCCAAAACACACATGCAAGCGCACACAAACAAATAGAGATGTGTCCATATCATAATACTTTAATGGAACGCTTAAAGGATGTGTCTTTATGTACATCCTTCCTAGGAATCAAGTCCGACCATCTAAGTGCCTGTTTGTTAGAATTCTCTTATTTATTTTTCAGTTTCACCCTTATTCTAAATTTATATTTGCCAATTTTATTCTTTACCATAATAATTCCTCCATATAGTAAACTATTTCATCTTCCCTCCTTCAAAACCATCAGAACAACTTTATATAATCACCAAACAACTTTACCTTTATTTTTAAGCTCTTTTTTTTACTTTTAGTTTAAAAATAAAATGTGCCAAACAGACTCTAAATCAAATAAGTAAGTAGTGCACCAAGGCTCTTAAAACTCAGGCTGCTTGGCCAATAATATCAATCATGGACCAATTCACTAATGAAAAGCTCCATTGCAAGACTGTTGTGTGTATGCAAGTGACTGGAAGCTTCCCCTTCCCCACAATGTTGCCAAACTGAACAATGTAGCAATTTGATTTTCAGTTGAGACAACTGAAATAAAAAATCAATTGCATCTTCTACTTATGATATGGTTATATGTCCTCTGTGTGAGTCATGTCACAAGATGTTTGCATTTTGTTTAAAAATCTCAACAAAAGAAATGAATATAGGGGATGATTTGGGGCATCTATCCACCAAGGTCTCTGTTAATACTTAATTGCCAAGGGATTCTACCACTAGACCCCATTTTTTGCAATTCAGATGAAAAAAGAAAGAAGATATTACATTAATCTCAATGTTCCAAAGATTCTGCCAATCAGAATTCTCTCAGTTGTCAACTTGTCACAATGTGGTAAGGGCCAATCTAAATTACCAATGCGATGTGTTATTAAGGCAGTACACAACCATCTACTATGTTCGTCAATTTTCTCACCCAAACTCTAAAAATGGCACAATAACCCACTACAGTGCTAGCCTAGTACGGGTATAAAACACTTGAGTATAACTACCACTTATGATCTTAATCAAACCACCGATCAGTTAATGAGATGCCCCAAGCCATTATAGCACTGCTCTTTGTAAGAAGAAAAATAAAAAAATAAATTGACTTCAAACATCCTAACAATCAATTATCATATTTCTATGCTATTACAAAGACTACTATCTGGTTTGTATATCACGCTCAAAAACTAATCACTCAAATTATATCATACAATGATGGAAAAAAAAAAATTAGATTTTAAAACTAATTCGACTTACGTGTATTACAGCTTACCCACTTTCAACCTGTTTACCATAGTCATATTAAACGAACAGCTATTGTTCATCTGGTTCCACATTAATGCATATAGATGAAAAGAAATACGTTGGAGAGAATGCAGATAGATGAAAACAAATAAGTTCCAGATATATGAAAATAGATACACAAAGGAGGGTCATTATTATTATTAGTTAGGGATAGGATTATGTCTACATTTTTTCATGCCTAGTCTACTTAGTCATCTCTAAAATTATTAGATTAGAATCTCAACTAACTTTCACCATTTCTCTCTCTTCTTGAGATTCTGATCAGAAGATGTTGGAGATAGGTAAGTAGAGTAAGCACCAAAAAAAGGTAGGCACAATATTCTATCCCTATTAGTTATATTAACTTTCAAGTTTCATGATAATCTTAATTACTTATTTGTACTTCTGTCCAATGTCAATAGGAGGAGGCAGGATTCACATACAAGGCATTAGATACGTATCATTCTAAAGGTTTTTTTTTAGAACCAAGGTCTTAGAAACATATCATTGAGAAAGCTTCATAGTGGCATGGTTTATAGCTTTTCTACAGAATAATTTGCACTATGTGAGTAATCTTACTCGTTTATAAAAGGATACGTCATGCATAGCTCTTTCTCTTTATGATACAACGTTCTTCAAGATTTTTAGAAATAATAGAGTGTTGAAACCCTTCCCTTAAAAATCTATTTCAATTATCCCAGATTTTGATTCAAACCATTCATCAAATTAGTAGTTAATTAAATAAAAAATAAAATAAAAATCCGCACACCGGAGGGTAGAATTCATAGAAAACCCCTTACAAGTACCTAACCGATCTATCAATCATATTTTCTATGTGATCTCATATGAGAGTACTTTATAATAAGTCATGTGCTTCCCGTAAAATAACAAATTCAATAGAAAGAATCAATATTTGCACTTAAATTCCCCACAACATAAAATCGTGATTAGAAAATGAAAAGTAAAGAAAAAGATTACCTTCCGATGCAATTCTTGAGAAGCTCTTCCGTTTTCTCGCATTTTCTAACGAACTTTCCAGATTCCACCTCCTCCGTCCTGCACTTCGATTTCACGATCTTAGAGGTGGAGCATCGTTCGCGTTCGCCGTCACATGAAGAGGAATTGAGTTGGTTATCGCCTCTGTTGTCGTCGTCGTCGTCGCTCCACACCCACCCCATTTTTCTGTTTCGAAATCGTTATCCCCAAAATTCTCACCTTTGTATTTGAGAATTGAGAGAATGAGTTTAAGCTGTGCGTTTAATTACCATTTAGCTTGCGAAACACGTAGGCTTCCGAATCAAGTAGAAACATAAGGAATAAAAAGAGAACTTTTCAGGATGCTTGTAGGCTTGTAGCGAATAGATGCCTGATTTTTTTTATTTTTGTTAAGAATATCAGTTTTTTTATCAGGTTAAAAATATTACATAAAAAAATATTTAAAACCAAATTATCTTTAAAATTGAAATTTGAGAATTAATTGCGCCAGATATTGAAAACTATCAAAACACCATATTTTAGTCCTAAATTTTATTTTATTTTCTCTTATCTTTTTTCTCATTTTGACATTAAATTTTATAACTAAACTAAAAAATTAATATTCAATTAATTAATTGAATAAAATAATAATTAAAAAATAAATATAAAAAATAATAATTACAAAGGTAAATGAATCTCATTTATTAGGTGATCTTTTGAAATCCATTCAGCTTAAAAATATCAACATCATTATCAATAATAACAACTTGACCATAAATAGCATAATAGCATAATCCTGGTATTTGAGTCAGCAGGTCTGAAAAAATGAGGATATGGATGGTAGAATATTCATGTGGTATCTTATCAGATTTTGCACTTGTATGAAGTTTGGAGTGAGGAATATTTTGACATTAACATCATAAAAGAAAAGTATTTTGATAATCGTCCCAAAAAATTACTCTATCCCTAAAATGCAAAACCCAGTATTTACAGAAAAAAAAAATTCATGTTAACTCAACAATTTAATAATTTTTTTGACAAAATTATTATTAAAAATCTTGTTTTGAAAAGGACCAGTTAAATACAATATTGGCAAAATAATTACACCTTCTACCAACGTCAACCTCAAACCTTATCCCAAATAAATAGGAAACTATCAATAAACCCAAATAAAATTCAAGAAAAAAAGATACCTTCTATAGTTCTATGCATTACCAAAATAATCTTTTGATCATATGAAAACAATTCTGATTAAATTGAGGAAGAAAAAAAAAAAAAGTGAATTGAAAAGCATTTTCTCACCTAAATAACAAGGATTGGCCACAAGCCAACAACTCCAAAGCAAAATACTGAATATTTTGCCAGGAACCATAACACAGACCTAAACCTTAATCTCTTCCTATATTAGATAACTTAAAACAAACTAATCTCATGCATAAAGAATTCACAAAATTGAACAAATATACATCAGCACTGCCATATAAATTGAAGTCACTTCCCCACAAAGTCACCTCCAAGCTGATCTAATTACCAAACACAAATTCCTGCCAGAATTCAGACTTCTTTGCCTTCATCACCATGCATCCCCAATATTTGTTCAGATACCTTGTAGTATATAATATCATATATTATTTAATCCATCTAAATTCACAACCCTTCATCTGGAAGTTCACATTTTGAGCGTTTCTTTTTTTTCTTGGATGCTGACTTACTTCCCTCATCTCTTGATGATGCAGTCTTCTCAGGTCCATCATTTCCTTCAGACTTTTTGCGTTCTTTAGTCTGCTTAGATCTTTTCTTTCTTTCACTACTGTCCATTAAATTTTCTCTGTTTTTAGAAGACTTTTTTCTTTTCAAAGGTAGTGATGCTTCAACTTCTTCCTCAACTGTGATCTCAGTCAGAGTTTGTTCCTTGCATGGTAGCAAATCTGCTCCTGAGGATATTATTGTTTATATAAAATCAGAAGTGTAGAATACCGGACTTCAATCACCAAAGACATAACGACAATAATAAAAATATATAAAATGTGACGAAACTGCAAGGTCTAAAAAGAAAATTGTAAGCCTTAAAGCATTGTCACATTTTGGGGAAGGAGTATTACATCCAACGAATACTAAATTTTGAGCAATATTAAAACTAAGTTTTGCACAAATTTTGAACAACACTAAATTTTCCTACACTCCTATATACTAAAAAGTTCTGAATAGTTCTTGCATTTAAACTGTGTCACTGTTCAAATAATCAGTGACATATCTATTTAGCCCCTCTTACAAAATTCTAAAGGATGTCTCTCTTATTAAGTTAATAATTTTTAATATAAGAGGATAGATACTGAAAGCTGTATTCCCCAAATCGTTCTGTTTCAGACCCTAGTTATTACTGTTCATCAAATTAATGCTAAGGTATCACACTAGTGGACTACTCCAAGCACCAAGTACCAGTAACACTGATCTTCAATGTTTTTCTTCTTTCTTTACTTAATTGAAGATCTTAAAATAATATATTGAAAACAAGAAAAATACTAACCTTCAACTGCGAAGCTGGAGTCAAAAAGAACATGTGTAATATGCTGCTTAATGAAAACCTGCAACCAGTGAAAATATATAAAACAATTATGACTACAGAATTGTTTAGAAAACAATTAACTTTAAAGATAACTTCTATAATTATAAGCATAAAACAACTACAAATAATTCTGTCAATCACTAAGGATCCTAGCTAGTTCAAGTTTAGTAAGGTTTCTATGTCAAAGCCATTAAGGGGAGAGGGGGGAGGTTTCTCGACAGTACATCATCTTTATCTTTGGCCCTCACAACTATTTTCAATATAGGTAAACAGTACAGAACAATCTGCATCAGCATGTACGTTTAATCTTAACACAGGTTAATGGTCTTTAGTTCATAGGTTTTATAACAGTCTCTCCATATAGCATACTGCAACGGACAAAGAAAAAGGGTATAAAACCTACAGCAGAAAGAAGCTGCCTTGTCTTTGTATCCCAAAGTCGTAAATAGCTGTCCAGTCCTAGGAAAAAAAGATCATTGTATGAGCATAAGTGGTGGGCAAGGCAAACAAAGTTGATAATAGGAACTTCATATATTTTTATTACACGAAGAAATGATGAATCACTTTTATACAGAAAAAAAGTGAACCAGAAACTACACGCCTTGTACTTTTTGGATGAAATGAGGTTAACAGAAGATTATAAATAGGATTCAGAAAACAAAAATTATTTTGGAAACAGCTATAAAACAAATTTTAGTGAACCAGACTGCCTGAGAAAACCCCAGTATAGTTTAAAGAATGTGCAACATACGAAGGGAAAACACAGACTAATGCTCACCACATGAAGCTATCACAGGTAGCTCAGGGTGCCTGACTATAGATCTGATGCTTCCAGAGCATTTTCCAGAAAAACATCCTAGCATTTTTCCTGTAATAAAATTATTTGTTAAAATAATAACAAAACAAACTCATTCAAAAAGATCAACTAAAAGACAACAGAATATATATGTATATATATAAAGTTCATAATACGTAGAAGTTACAGCTTAATGCATTTGCACCAGTTGACAACCAATTATCTAAATAATAGCAACACATGCCAATGGAAAAGCCGCTATGCCAAATGAAGCTCCTCATCATTACTTACATAAGTAATCATATTTTGATGGAAGTATTACTATGCAAATTCTATAATTTTAAGACGCCCCTCCCTTTCTCAATCAGTGAAATGACGAATACTGGAACTTTTCACAAGCAATAATTAAAATCCATCTTCTTATTTTTATTGATATTTACATAGTAATGCTTAAGCTATGGAGGATAGTTTCATGGTTGGCTTTCAGTGGGAGGCTGAACTTGAAAGAGTACACAAGAGAACCCCTTTTCTTGGGACAAATAACAGAAGCTTAAGGAAGAAGTAACATTCATCAGCATAGAGGTTATATACAAAGCATAGAAATGACACTTCAGGAGGCTATATGAAAATCACAAAACTTAACCAATGTAAAAATATTTTAGATAGGAAGGATGCTTTGCTGCAGAAAATCCTACAGAGTGTTCTAAATCCCAAAAGCGGATCATTCAACCCCAACAGAAAACATTTTCCCATTTCATTGCAACGATCGCTTCCATGGCTATTCTCTCTAGATATTTTTATGCCACCTTTCTTTGCCTCACAACTAAAGCATCTCCTTAACATCTTTACACACAAGCTCCAACACTCAAGAACAACAAGCCAAAGCAACATTGAAGTTGGATTCTGTTCCTAAGATAGATACCTCATTATTTTAAGCTTAACCTAAACTAAAATCAACAAAAAAGTTTCACTAAATTTTGTCCTCAGCAAAGATAAGAATATAAACATGACTGGGTTTTGTTTCCTGCAGACTAGCATATGAAATGTTCAACTTTTACAAATTTGACTCATTGCTGTGAATGACCATTCAAACATTTCGAAACTGCACTATTGATGTCTACATCAGTTGCTACAAAAGTGCACCTAACTCTCCTATGCACAGTACATGGTGCATTTTTGAAGGGACTAGATCGAACTATTGTTGGCAACAAATAGCTAATTTATAACATGGTCTACAAGAAAAATATTTTATACGACAATATAAGGAATAAACAAGACAACGCTATAATCAAGTAAATAGTGTCCAAAAATTTCAGTCACAAATGGAAGATAAGGGATATCAATGAAGAATAGCATACTGTATTATATGGAAGCAAGTAAAACAATGCTATAATCTATGTTCTTAAATTTATGACAACCTTCCCAAGACTTTGGGGATACCTGTGCGTATATCAACAGAAGCCATGTCCCCAGAAGTGTTCCCAATATAGATTGAATAGCCATCTATATCCTCAGCCAGTGCTTTAATTGGTGTCTCACGGAAATCAAATGAAAGAACAGGCCTCCTCTGAGCAGATATGTCATAAAGGCGAACCTGTTTAGAAGAATAATGAGAAAATGTATAATTATGTAGAGCTGCTAGAGAAAAAAAATAACAGAAACAATGAATTTTTCCCTTTCTGAACTAAAATGTCAAGTAAGCAGCACATCTTCAGTTTGAAACCATATTACTCATTTCATCTTTGTCAACAAAATGGAAAAGATCTAATGTGACTGAAACGTTATGCGCCAGGCTATTTTTTGGAAGGAAAAAAAAAGGTTAATGCTAGGAAAACATTAATGTTATAGAAACCATTAACAAAAAAAAATTCAACTTTACTTTGTGGAATCAACTCAATCAAGTAATGTCAATAAATGCAACATATGCTTCCTTATGTATTATAATTGATAACTGGCACATGTATATGCAAGCACAGTTAAGAGAGGAAAAAAGTGAAGAAAGTAATGCAAAAAATATGAGAAGTAGAGAGAAAGAAAGGGTTGTGGCGATTTGAAAAAAATCAATTGATTACACTTTTATTTTAAAAAAATTTAAACATTCATATATTATTAATTAATGTCACAAAAAGTTTATTTGAAAATAATATTTTTGGAACTTCTTGGGAAAAAGTTAATATTGAAAAATACCTTCCTGTTCAATTAATAATTAAAAAAAAGAAATATCAAAGGCCAAACTTATCACTTTAAGAAACTAAGCCATACAACTGGATTGCAACCTTTTACAGAACAGATTATCTATAACCCACAACAAATAAAGTATTCCTACATAAATATACTTTGTGAAATCATGTTTTATTAGTGATAGCATGTAAAATGCTTTGTATTTTATCTGTATGTGATGTACCTTATTGTTTTTAGTGAGTTGCACCTCAAATACTATCACTATAGTTAGTTAGATAGTTGGAGTCTGTTAGATCTGGTTATATTCTCTTAATCAATTATGAGTCTGCTGGTATTAGCTCTATAAATAGAGCAGGTTTTGTATCATTCGGTAAATTTTTCTGATCAATCAACGGATTCATATTTTCTCTCGGATTTTCTCTCGCTTTATCTTTGATTTCTATTATGTTTTTCTCTTAGAAAGTATCATTTCTATTTCTCTGAATTCCAGATAAAGAGAAAATTTAATAATCCTTCTCAAGAGTCTCTAGCACACATTGTTCAAGGATATCAACATCAAAGAGGAATAATTCATGGATTATTAGACATAAAAAATCTATTTCTTCGTTTATTTTAGGAATTGAGAAAATCTGCTGATTAAAATTACCTGATGGTTGTTGGTGCCAGCAACAAATTTTCGATGGTCATCTTTCCTTAGAAATGTAGCAGCTGTGAACCAGGTAGGTGTAAATATTCCAAGGCTGTTCTTAGGAGGCTGCATAGGTTAAAAGGATTTGTAAAATCAAGAGCAAGAAAACAAAAAAAGATCTCTAGTAAAAGATAAACTGGGGGAATATAAACTAATAATTATTAAAAAAGATAACAAGCAGGGGATGATGTAAAGACTCACAGGTTTGGAATTCCAGATCTTAGTATAGTTGTCAAGATCCCAAATATTAACTTCAACACCTTTCCTACAGATAAAGTACTTGTTCATTATTTCTCAGTTCGACATATTTATAGATAACAGTTATATGCCGATGAAGACTTGTTTAGATTCTCAAAGGTTTGTGGTAAATGGTGCCCATTTGTTTGTTGTTTACATTGGCAGTAATATGCTAGTAATTGTTGCATAATCTATCTAATTCATGTTTCTGCAGTAAGGAAGGTCCAGTGTGTCTTTAAGTTTTTTCTCTTTATGAACCTTCTGTAATAGAAGGTGCCTCTGGATCTTCTTTGGCTTCCTCAAACTCATGAAAAAATCAAATTCCAGAGAAATTTAAGTAAATGGATTGTGCAGGTCATCCTTAACTTACTCGGTATTAAAAGCATCCATCAAATGATCAATGGTCAAACTGTCAAAGCTTTCACATAGCCTACGGTACTTAATTGCACAAGCACAAAAAAACAGCAGGGTGACAGAGGCCACATAAGGCTCTATTTCCGAATCCTACAAAGTTCAGAAGCTCCAAAGCTAATGATTATTTGTTTTTTCACATTATTTGGTTGAGTTTAAGAGTTACCTGTTAAGAGGAATTTACTCAGAATTTTTTATAAGACGCAGGTTTACCCACAAAGTTGGCAAGAGTTTCTGCAAACTTATTACGAGGATCTTGAGCATGTTATGGCAAAGCAGGCTATATGGTTAAAGCCCAACGACAAGATTATCATGAAGTTTGTGCCATTGCATCTACTGTGAATGAGAAGAGTCTTTTAAAAAAGATATATTTCTTTGCTGATCATTATTTTTGGGGACTACAGTGGATTGATCTTCAAATCAGAACACTCCAATAATTGAATGTCCTTTCATCTTTTCAGTTCCAATTTTTTACCATGTTAGGTGACTTGTCGTATATTTCGTTAACCTCTTTTGTATTCATGAAATGTTCCATTATCAAAGTTCAATAAATAGATGATTCGAACAGTTCAATACTCAATTTGCATTCAAATTAACTTTTAAGTTTCTATGCCATACTTAAGCAAACTGTAAACACTCACCCTCCAAATAAAGCAAACTTCTCATTTCCATCCACCTTGCAACACAAAATGTTACCACCAGCACATACATTCCATGTTTTTGAAGAATCAATACAGGCAGATCCTGCAGATGAATTAGTAACTTCAATCGACCTCATGCTTGCATTTCCTTTGGTTGTGCATGTAAGTAAAGTACCAGACCTAAAAACAATCCCCACATCTGAATGATTTTGGAAGTACACAAAAACAAAAACATAAATACACTCATTAACTTAAACTGTCAAACAGCAGCAGTTTATATACCTTGAAGCTAACTCCAAATTTTGTTTTGCAAATAAATGCAAACCAACAATACTATTCTCTTCAGACCGAAGATCTAAATCATTGGCATTTGAAACTGTAGCCTGAGATTCACCGCTTATAGAGCTCAAAACCTCAATCTGTAGAATGAACATAATAGAGTGAAGTATTTCAATTTTTAATAACAAAATTGAAAACCAAAACAGTTTCAGAACCAACAATAAAACCATGAAGCAACTTACCTGGCCATTTTTCCTTGCTACAGCTAATAACTGCAATACCAGAAAAAGATAGGAAAATAATGAGAATCTTATTTTTCTGATCCATTTCTTTATGGTCAAACTAAAAAGAAAGTTATATCGAACAGCTAGAAGACCAACAGCGTTCTATGGTAATGAATGTTGGGCAGTTAAGTGCCAATGCCAATGAAAGCAAAAATGTAAGTGTAGCAAAGTTCAAAATGCTGAAGCGAATGGCTTGACACACACAAAAAAAGATAAGATTTCTAATGAATGTATTTGAGAGAGAGTTGAAGTAGCACCTATGAATGAGATGATCAAAACTTGCATAAAGTTGATTATGTTAGAAGACCAATGGAGGTTCCAGAGAGAAATGTGTTTCAAAAGGGAGATAGTTTCATTAAAAGGAGCAAAGGAATACCTAAGAAAATATTGGGAAAATCCCTTAAAAACAACCTTGTTCTAAATGGTTTTACTTTACAATTGATTTTTGGTAGAACCCAATAGTATAAATCGGTCCTTGTAACCAACCCGACATAGTGAAATAAGGCTTGATTGTTATTGTGTTGTGGAATGTGTGAATATTTATAATTACCTTAAGGACAAAGTTTGCAAGGTAAGAATCTAAAAAACATGCATGTTTTAATTCTATATACCATTATAATCCAAACCTTTGTTTAAAGTTTAAACCAGATTTTACACAGAAAAAAGAAACAAAAAAGTATGTTGTCAAGTGCTAGTCTTGATGAAGCATGCGTAACATAGGAAGACCAGATCAAGAATGCACATTAATAATAACCAACTGTCACAAAAGGAATTTTTTTTCAAGATATCCAAACCACAGCTGGCAAACTAAAATACGTTGTCTATCTAAAAGATATATGTTCAGTTTGATTTGATTTATCACTTCATGAGTTGACAGTGTATATGCAAAGTCCCAAGTCTTAATATTCAAGTGAGTTGCCATATCGGATTTACAAAGGGAAAGGATTTCCCTACTAAATTCATAGTTTCCTTAGCTTTGTGTTGTTTTGTTTATTTTTTTTCTTAGCTCTTAAGAATACATTGTCCTTACCCCATTCTAGTTCTTCTCTTCTTAATAATATTTCCTCTCTCTCTCTCTCTCTCTCTTAAGGGATAGGTTTGCTGTTGAAGACAAAATTCGAGTACTGTGAATAATTCAAATGTATGTAAGGCACAATAATTCCAAACCAATAAATTGCTTCCCCATCAATGCCAACGAATCTAATTTCAAGTGTAACTCTGAGAAATTTTTTTTATAAATATTCACTAATGGTGATAGCAGAGGTATCCCTATAATTCAAACTCATCGTAATACTTGACAAGATGGGTCAAAGTGCACAGCTACCTATAGCCATTTTTGCATCCAGCTCAATATCGAAGCTCTTAGAGAGGTTCATAACCAAAATAAAACCTAAAAAATTAGGAAAATAAACAATGTATGCCTGAAGCCTGTTTAACTATACAACTTTACCACTCAAAGGTGGCAGCTCAATTGGTGCAAGTGAGCTGAGTAGGTGGGGAAGGATCTCGGTTCGATCCCCCCAAAGCCATCTTGGAGAAAGGCATAAAACCTTAATCCTTGACCTACCCCGCACTCGGGATTAGTCCCATAACTGGCTCAAAGAGCCGAAGTTTATGGGGATACCGGGGGAGCCTACTCGCCTCAAAGTGGTAATTATGATTGGTATAAAAAAAAAAAAAAAAAACTATCACCTTAACCCTGGTTAGGCCACCCCATAAAGTCTAACCAATACAACAGTGGGCCTATACAAGAAAGGGCAATATCCACAACTCAAATACAAATTGAAGAACGTACATTTTGACCAGTTGCCGCACCATTATGCAAATAAATATTCAATTTCAAGGGATTACTTTATCATTCACAACCTAAATGAGAAAAATATTATGCCAAGATAATACATACCGGGTGAGACTTGCGATCTATCATTGAAACAGCCGTCACACATTTGGAAGAGTCAGGCTCACCCCACCTCTCTACCACACTTGGAACTCCTCGCTTATCACGGGCTTCCACAACTACCAACACAAACCAAAAGGGCCCCAAAACCAAACTCAGAAAGATTATAAAAAAAAAAAAAACAAAGAGATAAACTTGATATAATAGGAAAAGGGTATGCAAAAATTCATCACCTTTGATGAGACCAAGCGCATCAAACGTTAGAGCACGAAGAGGAGGACAACCGGAGCACTCCACAGTGGTTGTGCGAGGCATCTTTCACAAACCCAGTCACAATCACAATCACAATCACAATCAGAGGAAGTGAATGAGAGAAGAAAACCCTCAAGTTGAAGATAGCTTTCTGGTTTACGAAAGAGGAGGAATCCCCAACGACAAACCTATATGCGGCGCTTTACTTTGGGAAGACAGGTTTTAAGGAAAACACAGTCACATACTCATCATGTTGATGTTTTTCTCTTTTAAAACTTAACTAGTGAATTAGCTATACGGTATCAGGGAAAAAGAATAAAATTGTTGTTGCCCGTCGTTGGTGTGTTGTCTTATTAGTAAATTCACACCGTTGATGTTGATATGAAACTCTTAATAATAATATCATAATAAAAAATAATTGTATTGTTATAATTTTTAACTTGAAAAGTCGGTAGCATTCAGAAAGATAAAAAAGTAAAATAAAATTTTGTAGAATGAAACGTTTAATTGTATCGAGTAACCTTCACATCCAATTGCAGAAGTGATAAATAGAATAATGTCAATGTAAAAATAATTTAAATGTCATAATGTCAAAATTGCTCACAATTAATAATTCACAAATAACATGATACAATTCGGTGTTCCAGCAAAATATCTCTGACATCAGCCTGCTGACTATAAAAGAAATAAAAACAGTATATATTAGCATAACATATGATTTAGCGAATAAAGAACAGAAGAACTGAACAGGTAATTGTCAGAAGTATTATTCAATGTGGTTTTTTGCTTTCATATTTCAAAAATACAGTATAAAAATAATCAAAATCCAACGCTAATCAACATTTGAAAAAAAATATAACTTAAAGAATGCAGATTTTACCTGTACCAAAGAGCAACGTTGTATCCAATCGACTGAAGCAATATAAATTACAGTAATCTCTGAAATACTTCTTTGTAGACTATGTTAAAGGTATTGTTTGTTACACAACCATCTTCATCAACTATCAAAATCTTCAATCCCTTTTTGCTCTTTACTCGGGATAGTGCCACATATAATTGCCCATGACTAAAGACTGGTCTGGGTAGATAAATTCCAACATGAGAAAGCGATTGTCCTTGACTCTTATTGATTGTCATGGCAAGCGAAACGACGAGGGGAAATTGTCTTCTTTGAAAATTTACAGGAAAAGAATGACTTGAGGAGCTCATTGTCATTCTAGGGATTAACACATTTTCTCCTATATTGCTTCCTATAAGAACAGTTGCCTCAACCACATGATTGCCTAATCTTGTAATAAGCAATCTTGTTCCATTGCATAAACCTCTTGATTAGTCAATATTTCTTAATAGCATGACTGGAACCTTCAAAATTAATTTATGATCCGGAAGCCCAGAACAGGAGAAGGTATTTAAGATCTCAGGTGAGAATTCATCATCCTCAAGGGAAGAATTACCGTCTTGCTTCAAAATATTATCTGAACTTAAATATATTCTTTCGTCACCTGGAATCAAAGACATTAAGTTCTCATTTAAAATAGAAACATCTGCCAATTTTGGAGTCAGAATGACACGTTCTTTAAAGAATGTGGGTTCTAAAATATGATCCAAGATATCAGGGTACACAAAATCCATCAAATCTGAAAGTGGATTCAGTGATTTTTTTAATCAATAATTCATCTGGAATTGTTATAATAGATTCTTCATCCACATCATCTCCAAGAACACCATCCCCGACTTTAAGAAGCCAATCAGAAAATTCCTTTATCAGGGGAGCATTAAAAATAACTTCAAACGAAACGTCAAGCAATTACTAATAATGAAATTAATTGTTAACAATTGGTATAATGGGGAATTTCAAATGACATCCCTAAAACTGAAACACGTCGTACTAGAGAAATTCACACGTCGTACTAAAGCTGATAACAAAATATTAAAAGAATTTTTTTTTGCAAACTTTGTTAAAAATGAAGAAGCGAAGTTGATATCAAAATATTTAAAAACAAATATTAAGGCCTTGGTACACTGTCAAAGTTCAACACATTATAATAGGCAACAGAATAAGGAAAATGTCAATAGCTCCTCGTTACAAAAAAATTGACCAAAGCATAGTTACAGATTTTCTTTCTGCTCCAAAGTGTCACCGGCTGCAGCATCAAAACTGTGCCAAAATAAACAAAAAGGCACACAGAGTGAGAGGGATGAAATTATAAATCACGTAAACTTTATAATATCTATAGTCAGAACTTAACTTTTTCTCCAGCTTTATTTTTTTTAGAGGACGGACAACTGAACAATTATTTTTATCTTCAACAACATCACCATACTTCACAGACGGTGACAACAAAGTGAGAGAAATATCAGCATCATCAGTACTATCACAGGTTTGGCTCTGAACGTCCTGTCAACAAAATGACTCTGACCGCTATTAATATAAGGATACGACAATCAAAATTTCCAATTATGTCAATAATACCAACTCACCACAGTTTTTCCTGACCCTATCGACATAATATTATCATCAGAAGGACTGTCAAATACAGAATCATCCTGAAATGTTTTTTCCATAAACGCAAAAAAGTCATAACTTTGAAAAGTATAGGTTATGAATAATAATAAAAAAAAACAAACATTTGGGTCCACCGTGGTCTTCAGAAATGATGTGATAATACTTTCACTGATGCAAACTTTGGCCACATGATATTTTGGCTCACTGTATGAGTTCAAATTGCTAATTTTGACATTCACTTCAAACAACATAGATCTATCTTTAAGAACGTCCAACTCTTCCGGATAATGTTCTAAATTTGCACCCTACAAAAAAGGGAACACAACAAAAGAAGTACTAAGGGTGTTAAAAGTTTTGAGAACCTCACTAATAAAAAAATTCAAAGTTTTGAGAACCAAACCCACTTAAAATGTTGCTCGCGCAATTCAGCAGCACTCACTCCTAATAAAGAAAGACAGACTCTATCAAATAGTACGAAAGAAGCAGAATCCGTGTTATCAACAACTCTGACTTAAACACTGAACCTAAAAAAATAAAAAATTGAATTTTACATCAGTCCACCAGTTGTATTTACTTTCGATGGATTTTACAGTTCCATAAGTAATGCAAGTAGTAGCATCTATGCAATTCTTAATATCAGTAAGAAATTTCCTCTCTGTATCCTTGAGAAAATCATTTTCATAAGAATATGAAGATGGGCTGGACAACAGAGTCAACATCTGACTACTTTGCATCAGATCACCGGAAAGCCTGGAATATAAAAATATATAAAAGAATGAGTGAATAGAGCAAAAGAAATGCCTCATAATTTCTCACGGTAGCCCACCTTTTTTTGAACTCTACGATCTCAGGTATATCGGAATCAAAAAGAATTTTCGTCATATACTTTGTATTAGCTATTCCAATCTTTCCTGAAAAAAAATGCTACGTAAATAAAAGAAAAAGTAAAACAACAAAACAAAAAAATAAAAAATGAGAATTTTAATCACAAAAAAAAGTACCCCTAAAACCCTTTATCCTTGCAAGCTGAAGTATTATAACATTTTGAGCACTCTAATTCTTTGCTAAGAAAGTTTGGACCTCGTCTACGTATGACTCCCACAAAGTGCATTCAAGTTTATGACCCCTATCATGATATAGAAACAATAGACACATAAGAAATGATGTAAAATCCCATTCTCTTTAAATTCAAAAACACATAAGAAATTACATTACAATACTATCAGAAATATAGATAACATAAATACCTCAGGTTGTCAAGCTCCACGACAACCATTTTTGTATTCCTACCAGAGATGACATGTTCACGTACTTCCCCAATTCCAGACAGCAAACCAATGACGTCTACACAACAATAACATGGGTTTCAGCCTTACGTCCTATATACAAAATCTTAATTGAAAGCGAATAACACAATACACCAATCCCATCACCTATTAATAAGGAGAATCAGAGGATTCTTTCTCAATAACGTCAAACTCAGCAAAATCAAAACCACGCTCAAGAATCGTAGCATCAACAATGGATTTCACGTTGGCCTGAAATTACCCGTATTCAACCCAACTCCAATTTTTTTTGTAAAATAAACATCACCCTCACGAATTTTCTTCCGAACCTGCAAAGTACCCTTGGCCGTAGCATGGATCCTTCCACCCTATAAAATGAAAAGAATCCTCTAGTGTGAACAAAAATTCAAACAGAAAGAATTTCAAATTAGTGATAATTTTACAAACAGAAAGAATCCTCTAGTGTGAACACAAATTCAAACATACATAATGGATTTTAAATGAGCTAATTCAAACATACATATTTTGTTCACTATATCGAAAATAAGTAAGTTTTCAAGACATCCTCTAGTGTGAACAGAAAGCTGAGATTTAAGGAGAATGCGATACCTCAGCTAATTTTCAAAAGTTTTTTTTTACATTAAAACGGAAAGAATCCTCTAGTGTGAACAGAAATTCAAACATACATATTTTGTTCACTACATGGAAAAGAAGTAAGTTTTCAAGACATCCTCTAATGTGAACAGAAAGCTGAGATTTAAGGAGAATGCGACACCTCAGCTAATTTTCAAAAGTTCGGTTCTCCTTTCTATATAGTAAGATAAGTTAATAAAAAATACAATTAATATGACATTGGGTGATATTTCATTATAATTAAATTATCTCAAATTGATGTGTTCGATTCCCGCTGAATGCATTCTTGGGGAGGGGGCTGAACCTTTAGCCATCACTATTCCCCCGTACTCCGGATTAGTCCCATAGCCGGCTCAAAGAGTCGAAGCTCGTGGGGATACCGGAGGGAGCCAACTCGTCTCAAAGAGATAATTAGGGTTGGGTAACTCCAAAATTTTTTTATCTCAAATTGCTACATGCATCCAACACAATAATAACATTATTTATTTATTAAACTTCAAATATAATGTGCGGTACGTTTTTTAAGGGAAAAAAATTCTTAAATAATAATGAAATATTGAGCTTGCTTGTTGATCATCATATGATAGAAATAGATACGAAAAGATGACGGGGTAAAATTAGGAATCAATATATATCATATGACCATTATTTGCTATTTGATATGCACCAGATAAATACTTTAATAAGATAATATTATCATAGTTGGTATTTGAAGCAATATGATATGTACAAAGAGCCAAAAATATCTTTTTTAACACGATTTTATATGATTTTTTAAATTGATTTTCAAACTGTTTTTTATTTATTCACATATTAGTTTTTATTTTACATTATTAAGAAAATTTATAATTTGTAATTTTAAATAAAATGTATTAAAAAATTTCAAAATTGAAAAATTATATCCTTAACAAATAAATTTTTTAAAAATAAAATTTTAAATTAATTGTTAATATTAATGATCGATAATTAGTGATAATAGTTAACGGTAGTAATTATTATAGTAGTGGTAACGGATTGGCCATGACTGATGCCAATTGCAATGATTGATCGATGGTTGATAGTTTCTAGTGATGGCCTATGGTGGTGGCTAATAGCCGGTAGTTGCTGCACTAGGTGGTAGAGGTGGCCGATAGTTAGCAGCGGTGGTTAACCCGTGGCAAAGGTAGACAATAATAGGAGGGGGAAACAAATATCTAACATATCTTACTTTTAAAATATATAAATATTATATTGTGATTAAAATATGTAAAAAAGATAACTATAATATTTATGTAAAAAAGATAACTATAATATTTACCAAGATTTTTCTAAAATTATCTAAAATCTTCTGTGGTCCTATACGACTTTTTGATAAGTTTTAAATCATTCTTCGAGAACTTAAAAATCTCCAACAAGTCTTGCGTTATTCTCCAATATTCTATAATTCTGCCAATAACAAGTCTCAAACCAAAAATTAACCCCATGAATAACAGGAGATCAAGATGCTTAGTGCCTTTGGCTTTATAGTCACAGTGTAAAATGAGTTTTACTTCTTACTTATTAATCGTAATGTAATTTTTTATTTAAAATATTGTTTTGTAATTTTTGTGTGTGTGACAGTGTGAGATTGTTAACTAAATCATTATAATATTTTTTAAAACATATTTCTCAATTGATAGCATAGCTAATATTTTTAGTCTTTTTCAATTTTTAGATGTTATTGATCTAAAGTAACTTTTTTTTTTTTTTTTTAAATTTTAAAAATCTTGACACTCCACCTTTACAATGGTAACAGGAATTGTTAACTATGCATTTATAAAATAAAACCTTTTTACATAATGGATTTACATTTTGTTTTATCTGTACAACTCCTTTTAATACTAAACTAGTAGGTATCTTGTACATTATACGAGTACTTTTAAATTTAGATACAATACACACAAAAATTGAAAACTATGAAAAAAAATGTATAATTTTTTAAAATTTTGAAAAAACAGAGTTAAAAATCACATGTATCAGTTATTTAGAAAAGTAATTTTCTACCACCAAATATTATGGGTGACAATTTTTACCATGACATATATTTTTCGTGTTCATGTCAACTTGTATTTGTATTCATATCATGTTCATGTTCGTATTAATTGTGTTCATATAAGCCCATTTGAATTAAATAATTATAAAATTATATATTTATCCCTTTATCCCATTTTCATTTATTAAATTATGATTGTTTAAGTAATTTTCATTTAAAAAGTAAAATCAAGAAATTATTTGTGTAATGTCAATCCATGTAATGAATGGAATACGTTCTAGGTATACAGCTATGTTAAAAACCTGATAAGAAAATTTTTGTCATTCTTGTAAATTCAAATCAGATTATTCAAATAATTAATGAACTAGTGAAATTTATTTATTTTTAAAAAACAAACAACAGCTTTCTTCGTAACAGATGAATTTTCAGCACTCTTTTGTACATCGCTTCTAGTTTTACGATGCTTGAATTTTTGCATTGATAGTGAGATCTGAATAACATTAATTTAACATTTTCGGTAATAATCAGATTTAGGTTCTTGTCAGTTGTCACTCTCGAATTCAATGACGAGTTAGTGGGTGAAAGTACAATTTGAGGATTGTTCTTTTCATTTTGAGAAGACTCGGTTTTACATGAAATGTGCAGTGTAGACTTCAACATGATTAATTGGGCATAAGAAATTCATTTGAGTGGGTAAATCTCGCATGCTTGTTCAGCCAAACATGCAATGCAATCTCTACATACTGCACAATTAGCAAAGAACATGCTCGACTTCTATCATGTATGTGAGTAACTTCCCACTTTCTAAAAAATATGGAGATAATTTATCAGTAACATCAATCGTTGTTTGCGCCAGTAAACAGGCCCCTAAGAGACTTTGTTTTCTCATCAAATGAAGTTCACAATGGAATTAGCAAAACTAATAGACCACAAACCCAAAAAAGCAATAATAAAAAGAGTATCAAACTATTACTTACTCTATAACTTCAATCAAAACAAACTTTCAAATAACTTTCAACTAGGACTGAACAGGGACAAAAGAACAGGAGTAACATTTTGTCACTCCAATACAACAATGGCACCCAAGTCTTTAAGCTTGTCAATGATGGGATCAGCCTCCTCCTTGGTGAGTCCCTTCTTCAAAATACAGGGAACCTTCTCCACCAAGTCCTTAGCTTCCTTCAACCCCAAATCTGTAAACGCCCTCACCTCCTTGATGATCTTGATCTTGGCGGCAGCATCATACTTCTCCAGCTTTATATCAAATGCTGTCTTCTTCTCCTCCACTGCCTCAGACCCAGTTGGGGTAGAGGCTGGGCCACATGGGCCGAGCTCGGCAACAGGGGCCCCATAGCGGTTGAGACCCATCTTGAGCCTCCAGAGGATGGTAAAGTCATGCCTTTCAAGCTTGTCGAGGTGGAGGAGCTCATCAGCTATGCGTTCAAGCTTCTGGGTGTGAGCCTCTGTGGAGAGAGAGCGAGTGTGGTTGAGAAGCCTTATGAGGGACCTCAAGCTGTGGGACATTTTTCTAGAATGGGAGCTTCACCACACCAAGGTTTCAGTTTCAGTTTCAGATCGGAACCAACAAACAATGAACAAAGTTGGAGAGTGTGGCAGTGACCCTGTGAGTTTAAACAAACATGGGTAAAAATCAATCTATATAACCTCCTCAAACGAGTTGTGCAATACCTCTTACAATGTTAATTTTGAATATAACTATTACAACATTTCTAAGTCCAATAACAAAAATAACTACTATAGCATTTCCGGTACCTAGACATTAAAGGAAGAGTTTCAAAAACAACTTCATCATCCACATTCACAGTCTTATTTGCAGACTCCATAATTATTCATATGTATTAAAACAAACAAAAATCAGAACAAGAAAACAAATAAATTTAATTTAGAATATAAAAAAATTCTCTTAGCAAAATTTTTCTAACAACCTGTAGGGGAAGTTCAAGCTTTGATCTCAAGGTAGCATGATTCTTTCTTTCCTCACCTTCCTCCAAAAGCTATAAAAAGAACAAATAAATGATATTATTATTAGGTTATGAATAAACACAGTAACACAAACTAGTAATATAAGAGAGCACAAACCTATGACTCAATAGAAACCAGCTAACATAGATCGTATGCTTTCCTAACAGGAGATGTATATGACTATTAAGTTACTGAGATTTTAGCTTACTAAATAAAGATAGAGATAATTTGAAAAATTAGTGTTCAGACTTAGTATTTACAGAAACTTCAAAAGAAATTAAGAATCATTGATCGGATCCTAGCTAATAACTATGCATGAGAACATTATTCAATTGGTTGTGACTGGAAAATCAATATTATTCTTTTCTTTATGTAATTTCAAGTTAATATTATATTTGAACATATATAGAACTAGGGGCAGAACTAGACTAGTTTAAAATGATAACTTAGGGCCATTTTTAAGCAAGAAATTTTAAACCCAAAGAAAAAGAAAAAAAGTCATAAAAAAGTCTTTGATCCATAAGTTAACACAGCACTGCCCTGTATAGAACATAAGATCTTCCTTTTTATTGTTGGAATTCAAATTTGGAAGTTCAAAACCAAATGACACAAAAACACAAGCGCTTTAATTTCTAGCAATAAGGACGCTTTAATTCATCACATAGTAGTTAATTGCGCCGCAATAGCACCGCGAGCCGCGCCGTATGAGCATTGCGGTGCCTCACCGCAAGAAAGTGTGCTGCGCCGCACCGGAACGCAAGAGCGGCCATTGCGATCGTATTTGCAGCCATATTGCTGTCATAAGACAAAATGTCAATTTTGTCCTAAATTTAAATGTATAACAGAAATTTTTTTAAGGGTTTTTAGTCTATCCACGTCTCTCTCTGTCACTTCTGCTATCTCTGCCTTTAAAAAATATTTCTTTTTGTCATTATTTCTGTCATATATCTATTCTGCTATTTCTGCAACCCGTTATAACGCTATAGCGTTTTTCGGGATTGGCCGTGACATGCCGCAATCCGCATTTGATAACTATGATTCATCATGGAGAGGTGAAAAAAAGAGCACAAAAAGGAGCACCGGTATGCAAAATACAATTCTACAAAGACTGGAGAGTTCCCTTATATCATTTACTAGAGTCAACTCCTTACTAGTATGGCCTAACAGATTCAAGTTGAGAATCCCATTTTACGAGACATTTATATCCATATAATTTTCATTATTTATAAATTCAAACTTAGATCGTCGTCACCTACCCATGTTAAGAAGAAAAATAGACACAGCAACAAAATAGAAACATGTTCCAGAATCTTTGCAACTGTCAGGGGAAATGGGATGCTCTCAAACAAACCAGCACCTGACTAAGTCACGGAATGCCGGTGCCAGTCCACGGCAATGCAATTGTCCCTCTTTTTATATCAATTTTCACATAAAAGTATAGCCAAACCAAATTGCCTTTGCAGTCTGTAGGTGCCACACACAAACGCATTTCATTTCAGGAATCATTACCTCACCACAGTTGTATTTTTAAATTATTTCCCCCTTTCCAATCACCAGTAATACAGTAGTTACAATCCTTTTATTTTAACTCTGCTCTATTACCATAAAGTAATAGCTAATTAGGCAAAACAAGAAGGATTTGAAACGCACAAGAGCAGCAAGAAAATAGGAATAAAGCAATAACCAAGCCAAATTTGTTATCATATTGAAATCACAGATCCCACATGCATCAATTAGCAACACATTACAATTATGGACCAAGTTTCCAGCGTAATTGAACTCAATGGCAATATCAAAACTCTAAAGTGAAGAAAAACTGCAGAATTCTAGTAGGAACTTACTAGGATATGTGGTTGTGATCATAGCCATTCAACGTTATCAACTACTGGAGAAGAAAAATAGATAAAGCAATTAATTTTCAGCTTGAAACTCAACTCAAAGAGCAACATCTCAAAGTGAGAAACATCAAAGGACAATCCCAAACCCGCAGTACCTGTGATTCTGTGACAGAGAATCACTAATCTGCTTTTCAAGTCAAAAACCCGTTTCCTCCAAACCCAAATTCGATGTGATAGAGGGTCTGGTGGTTTACGGCGAAGGTTGCTCCGATGAACGGTGGCGGAATGTATGGAATTAAGATGAAAAGAGCATATTAGAAAATGTGTGAGAAATGGGAACAGGGTAATGTCTTAGTCGGATGTGGGCTGACCCGTGGGTATATCTTACCCTAACTCACTCAATTAGTGGGTTTTTGAGTCAGGGCCCACAGTTATATTGTTCTTTGGGCTATTTAAATATAGGGCCCAATTACATGGGTTGTGGGGCTGTTTCATAACCTCTTGGCCCTGTTCAAGTAGTAATGTCATATGGGTTCAGAAGATTTAAGCGTTGTTCTTATTCTTATATTAAAAAAATTATATTTATCTCATTCAACATTAGATAAATTAAATTTTTACATACTCATAATAAAGGTGAATCTCATTTCTATTTTTTTACTTTTCAATTATTTGTGGGTCCTTCTTATAATTTTGTTTATTAACGTAAGATAATTTATCTCCAATAACATAAGAAAAATATTTTTCATTAAAAAAATATGAAAAATCATTTTTAACAAGCCATATCCTTTAGGGGGCGTTTGGTTGAGGGAAATTTTTTGAAATAGTAGGGAAATGAGATAGATAGAGAAATGATTGGAAAGATAGATAAAGTGAGATAGGTAGAAAAATGTAAAAAAAAGTTGTTTGGTGGGGAAAAACTTTACTGGAAAATTAGGTACCTTTTTAGGAAATGTATGTTTGGTTGGAGGTAAATATAGATGGGAAAACAATGTTCATTTACAAAAATAACCCTCATTTGATATCTTTTATTTAAATAGGACGATACCCCACAGCTGTCAAACCCCAACGTCCTCAATACCCCTCAGATGTCAAACCCCAACGTCCCCATCTCTTTCCAACGACCAAAAAAATTAAGGGGGAAAAATAAGTCGAAGTGTGGGGTTGTTCTTTGTCTAGGGTTCCGCCAGAGAACGCAAGGGGGACGTCGAGTTGCTGTTCAACACTGAGATTAAAGCATACAAGTTGATCCCTCCCAACCAGTACACTTTAGTGATCAGAACCTACCGTGGGAGCGTAACGAAAGAAAGGGGATGATAGATGAGAACCATGGCTGTATAAAAATTGGTCCACCATCGCAAGAGGTATGCTCATCGCTCTTTGATGTCATTTGTTATGGGTATCATCGCTGTTGTGGTCCATAAAATGGTGTTGAATGAATGTATAGAAGGACCGTTATCAGTGATGTTGATTATGTGTTCAACTCGTACGAAGGATTGGGTCTGAACACACATTCTATAACTTAACCGTTATAAGTGATTGGCAAGAAATATAGTTGTCAACCATGGTACTTGGTGTTTATGGAGCTAAATGAACAGGGACAGTTCCCTGCAAATAAGTTTTCCACACATTCATATTATTAAAATAACTATCTCATAAGTTATAAATACACACAAGCACGTAACACTGTAATACCATAAAAATTGGTCAGATCATAAGAAGTTAGGAATGAGTTTGTTGGATTAAACTTTTGTTATGTTGAAAATAACTTAACAAATAAATAATAATGAAACTTACATTTGTTACTGTATGTTGTTATGAACCTGTTGTTGAAATATTATTGTTGGAAAGTGTTTCTTTTAAACAGTTTTGGTTCATAGTATAGAAATATGAGTTGGTTTGTTGCTTGTAAGTTCAACTGAACTCGTGATCTGTGTCCTTCTTCTTACCGCAGTAACCATACATTTTTGTCAAAGTTGGTGGGAGGCATCTTGCTATACAGTACTGTATGAGCATTGACAGAAGAATGGGTGGAAGTGGGTCCGGCATAGGTGGAGGTGAAAGCCTAATATCCAGGCATTCAGCGTCCTCGTCCCTTTCCAGGGTGAAGATGTGCTATTGCGGAGTGCAGGCTGCGTTGCGCATGTCAAATACACAGAGGAATCCGGGCCGACAGTTTCTTCGATGTGCTAATTCCAGGACTCAGCATGATTGCCACTTTTTTGAGTGGTTTGACGAACCAAGTTGCAGTAATTGTCTCAAGTTCGAGAATGTTCTGAAACAACAAAATGTTTTGCTAATTGTAATTGTTATAACATTTGGGATCATCGTGACCACAATGTTGATCATCCGTTGACTTGTATTGTAATGGTTTAGGGTATGTGTTGTCGTATATATTTGTACTAATGTTGTGTGGATTTGTAATTTAGGGTAACCGTCGACCATGATGGCCTTGACGTACCATCTCATCTTATGGGACTGATATGTACTTTTTGTGTATTAAGAATGTAAGTATTGTATGAAATTTGTTTGTTAGCCATACGTACCATTCGAAGAATTCTGTTGCAGTTATCATGTACACAAGTGGCAGTACAGGTCTGTAAAAGGTTTGTTTCTTCTTCATATCTTGTTACAGGTGTCCCTTTGGGTTTTTTTGTTGTTTGTATAACCTTAATTCAATTCATTGCTTCATTGAGTTTCAGCACATCCCAGAGTCTCATTGAGTTTAGGTTATGATGACTTTTGGGACTTTAAGGACGCTTCACCTGGAACCAGATTTGGCCCGAATCTGCAAAAACCACTTCTTTTAAGCATACACCAGAAGTAAACGAATGTCTTCTAGTGTGTCTAATTCTCTATCATCAAACTTACAGGAATTTAATTCCCTATCTTGGTGGATCATCTGAAACGTGCTCTCAAATGGCATGTTTGAAATTAGAGAATTGAGCTGTCCAGTGATGGAGTGAACTATGTTGTAGATGCTCTTTCTACCTTCAAAGGACCATTGAAGTCTCTTTCTGTTGCTGACAACCTCCTTGGCAGGTATGTGTGTAGACAATACTGCAGAACTCTTCTGCACTTAATTCTCTCTCCATTTGTATTTGGATTGTTTTTTCTTATATAGTGAAGTAGCTGAATCTTTGGGGAAATTTTTTAGTACACCTATGGAGGTACTTAATGTTGCAGGAGTTGGATTGGTTTCATCTGGTTTCAAAGACATTCAGAAACTAATAAAGGAGGATCTTAAACTGGTGAAAAGTAATGTAAGGTCATGGTTAATACTTAAAATTCTGCTATCGCTTTTGTTTAATCTTTCTTTTACAATCGTGTGACATGTTTTCCAATTTGAACAGCAAAAACCGTGGTTCGATTGAAACTGCCATGTTTACCCGTCAAAGCTCGTCACAGGCTCCAAAACTAGTTGAAGTGAATGGCTCCAGTCATTTTTTCCCAATAGAATCACTGGCCATCATCTGCTCTGCATTAAAGTTTGGAAATGGTATTAACATTTGTTATAGTCTGTTCTATGATTGACTATTATTGGCTCTTACATACTGACAGGTAGTAACTTTGTGTTCATTTAATTGATTAGTCGCTCAAGCATGCCCACTAAACTCCCATCTGTGGTTACTTGGATGCTAGTAGTGTCACATCATAGTCAGAGGAAGTATTGGCATAGAAACATCAGAATGAAGATTGGTAGTCAATCACATTATAGTGTCACAATATACTTAGTAGTCCATCAGATGCTGTGCATCCGAACACATACAATCTGTTGTATCAACTATGATCATTGGCATAGAAACAATTGTTTTGGGTTATTTTTATATGAACTTTTTTCATAGTGGTTTAGACAATATGCTGCCATTGACTTCCCTTACATTTTACCAATGCAGTTATCATCAGAATTAGAGGCAATTGATAATATATGTGTTGTTATACCAATCCTAAGGAAGACATCCGTGAAGACCCATCATAGCAATCTTACAACAATAGAAGAATCATTAAGTAAGCATAATACGGTTTGTCCAGGTGCCGGATTCAACCACAGGATTCCAAAATGGAATTAGAATCAGTTTTCAAGAACAATTATGACAAGAGACATTACAGAAACAGAGCATGACAATATCATTTCTTCATTGGGGTAGATATACACTCACAGTGCAGCAAAGACTTAGTAAAGGTGCAGTGATCCATATCAAAAGCAACCCACGATGAAAGTGGTTTGATATAAGGACAAAAATGGAGTAATAGCAGATGCTTGGAGTCTTGGAGTATGTAAATGGGAAGCAATCTTTGTATTTTTAATTCCAGTATCTGTCTGTAATTTATATTTCATGAGTGTAATGTTCCTGTTCTGTGGAGTCTGTAAATATACTAGTCCAGCTGTTGAGTCTGGAATCTTGTATTATATCAAGATTTTATGAATACAAATGTTTCTGACAATATACTCTTCCACTTGGATATGCTTTGGGTTTTGAACTTGTTTGCTGTTTTAGTGTTGGAGAATATAAGCCTAATTTGTTATAGTTATTACAAATGAGTGTGTGAAGAATGGAGTACTTAGGCCCATGTTGTCAAAAATAGAATTACATTATTACGCCCAAGATTGTCCAAACAAATCAGATCATGACAATTTTTTTGTTATAGTCAACCAACATTTATTTTTTCCTTCTTCCCCTAACTAAACAGTGAAAGAGGCAATTCCATCATAAATATGGTATGACAATCCAATTAAATCACTGTTATAAAGATTATAGTCTGCAGAATTACCAAAAACTGAATTTGTCATGCCTAATTCATAAGTGTACAAAATCACATTGTATACAAGGAAACCCACTCCCTAATTACACTGTGGTAACAAAGAACAATACTTTGTTCCTTGATCAAGCTAAGTCAATATTCGGACAGGATATTACAAGGTTACATAATTACAGAACAGTAACATCTTAAGAATTACAACTGCAACCAAACACTGCTACCATCCGAATGTCATAGAATCTGTATATGCTGGATCATCATATCTGCATCCTTTTTTGGTCCTGGTGTTGTTCATTAATTTTGAGGTGGTGCAGATCCAAAACCATTACCCTGGAAACCTTTTTCAATAATTCGAATGCTGTTATCCTGCAACCACATTGACAGCAACTGTATCAGCACCACAAATCTGAAAAAGACATAGATTTAATCATATGAAGACATGAGAAGCTGTTAATATCAACTGGATCAGATGAATAAGAAAAGATGTTCGATGTATATTCATGACTTTGGCAAGTACAATGTAAAGGAAAATGGTAGGACTGGTACCTTATATCTCATAATTCACATTCAGAGCAATCACCAACAAATACACAGTTAATATACTGAGCCTGCATACAAGAAATGGGAAGAACATTCAGAATATTATATGTTAATGATTCCAATTATAGGATTGTACTACTTCATAGCACATATTTCATCCCTGAGAACATCAAAGGCAGAACAATATTATTACCTACCTGCAGAAACTTATAAGTTGTACACTAGTGTTTTGATTTTTGATCATTTTAAAAAACAAACCATCAAAGCCAAACTCGAAAATGGTGGATTGACTCCAATGTCAGATAACAGAACCCTATAAGAAAAACATCAAAAGCATGCACATCTATCATGATCACTTACAATTAGTTCCACCATATCTCATAAACCGATATACCATTATGCCATATCACAACCCTATTTAAGAGTGTCTGCATAAAACATTAATTTACTGACAAATAACCTGAGAACTTCAGCTAATGGATCTACCTCTTCTCATTATTGACATCAACTAAAAAGATTATAAAAACTTTACTGATTTGTGCTGTCCCATTCAGATTTAGAGGTGTAGTAACCACATTTAGCATTATGGGTAGCAGATTAATTGATAGTCACAAAACATATCAGAATCATGGCCTTCACACACCAGTTCCTTCCATCAGGTACCAGCTTCATTAGAATAAACAGCTTATCACCTGCATAAAAATTAGAAAACAGACAAATTACATTATAGACATATGGGGTTACTAGCAGGGGGTATCACTCACAACAGTAATAAGTACAAATATGTTCAGTTCATAAACCTGTGTTGTCTATTGGTACACTTACCATACATATCAGTTATTGTTACCTTAGTACAAAAATGCTGAGTTGGTAACCTCCTGTAGCAGATCATTTGAAATGTTTCAAATTCCATACATGACACTGGATCCAGATCCAAAACAACCGATTTTCCATATTATATGTTGTGCAATGTCAGTCCATAATTTGCTGTCATTCGTTAGAGGTAGCCAAAAGTATTAACACTTTACCAAGTCTAAACCTGTCCATGCCAAAAAGTAGCCTAACCAAGCCTTGCGCTATATATAGTTAAAGGCCATCAAAAAACAATGACATCAATCTATAGGGAATTACTCAGCAAGTCAGCCAGGAGACACTTCCTTTGCTGATCATTGCATTGCATGAAGACATCTGTCAGAGTTGTATCCTTTCCCAACTGCACCGCAAGTTTAACCATCTGTGAATCTGTTAGATCTCCAACTTTTTCCAGTTCTTCCATAATTGACATCCGCCTTTTACTCCCATTAGCTTGATGCTGAAAGCATGAAACAAGCTTGTCTATACCGTCACGGTAGTTTTGATTGATATCTTTCATGACATCAACTATTGGAGCAACCAACGGATCTTCTGGTCTATCACGTTTCTTTCCCTTTTTGGCAGTAGCGGTAGACACATCTGAGGGCGGCACAATTTCTTCAATTGGGACTTCTGGTATCACTGGATCTGGTAACGGTGTGGGTATATAGTCCCCTGTGAGGTCTAGATACTCGTCAGATACATTCACACTCTCTGCATTGCATGCCGCATTTGCCTCCAAGACATTAACTGATTGTCCCATTGTCTCTGCATTACCTCCTGTTGCTGCATCCTTGCCAAATATGGTTCCCAAAATATCATAGTGGGGGAAAGGCTTGTTGTAAAGGCCCTTTGCAGTTGGGTGAGACTGTGGATAAAAAAGTCATGTTAAACACTGAATATAAAAAAAAATTACAAACGTACAAGGTGACATAATTGAAACACAAAACTTCAAATTATAGCACCTTAACCCAGTCATCAAATATTCCCTTCTCCACGTCAATCATTTTCTTCGAGTCATTCCACCCGAACCCACTTCCACCAGAACCTCCTGTCATTTCATAAATGGCATTGTACTGTTTTTTCAACAATTTGACCCTGGAGGTTATGTGAGGGATGGCTTTAAGTGAACAATCAGGTATCTTGAGATGCATCATCCTCTCAATTGCATTAGAGAAACCTTGTTTGAAACCGTTCTCACCTCTCCACAGATGTGCAATTTCAGTCATACATTCGACCAGGATCTTATCTTCCTCGGCAGTCCAAGTGTGATTACGTTTGTTTCTGAAACTCTGGCTTTCATCCGTCATAATGTCGGTGTTCGTAGATTGTACCTGCGATAAACAGTTTCAAAATCATTACACTAACCATGTCAATAGTGTTCTGCCATAACATTAACACGATTTACATAAGTAACACTGCAATTGCGTAAACACCCCTTAACATAAACAAACGTTAAATCATTAAGTTCAGTACACGCCCAATATGTTTGTCAAAGTCTTCATATTACAACATAAACGCAAATAGCATGAAGTGTACATAACGGTACAGTGGAAACAAAAAACAAAATGCAAAATGATTGGTTCATCTCTTTATGAAATTCAAACATGATTCCTCCAGGTGTTAAACATGTCATGTGCCATTTGATCCCTGCGCAGTGTCCATGCATTAGATGACTCAACATGAGTGATCAAATCAAGTGCTCCCATGTTATCATCAACGTGTTGCATATCAACTTCTTCACCGTCCAATGGATCCACTGCCATCTCTCTCCGAATGTGGTTATGAAGCAAACAACATGCACTAATAATCTTGCATTGAGTTTTAACGGGATAAAAGGACTTCGATCGGACAATAGCCCACCGCCCCTTAAGCATCCCGAAGCAACGTTCAATGACATTTCTTGCAGAGGAATGTTTCATATTAAAAAATTCTTGGGCTGTCCTTGGTTGGGCACCGTGCCTCCATTCACTAAGATGATATCGTTGTCCTCTATATGGCGTAAGGAAACCTTCCCCATTCATGTAACCAGCATCACCTAGGTAATAGTATCCTACATCACAAGTTACAGTTAACTTATATCAAAACATGTAATACAGTAAGTACAATAAATGACCCACAATAAATTATCATGGCAATATATGAGTCATAGTGCATACCTTTAGGAACCTTCAAACCGTCTGGACGACTTATGGCATCTCTTAGAACCCTAGAATCTGCAGCTGATCCCTCCCAACCAAGCAAGACGAAAATAAACTGACCATCTTGAGAACAACCCCTAAAACATTAGTTGCTATGTCACCCTTTCGAGTCCGGTATCTGGCCTTGCCCCCCTGTAAGGGGTTAATCTTTATGTGTGTCCCATCAAGTGCTCCCAAACAATTCTATAATTCAATTTATAATATTAGTAACACGGAGACACGATTGGTGACGGACATGTATAGCATGAATTATGAGTCACGTGGAATAGTAAATTACCTTGAACCATTTCCACTTATCATCGGTCGAGTTTTCCAGGATTGGCTCTGGTCATTTTAGAAGTTTATCATGACAACGTAACACTGCAAGCAAAACATTAGAGAACTGTCTACTAATGGTTTCACCCGATCTCATGAATTGTCTTTTAATTATCCTGTTCTTCACATCATGTGCCAATATGTGAAGAAATATTGCAACCATCTCCTCTACACCCATATGGCTCGTCGGTTGAAGTTTACCAACAGTTTTAAGCAACCCACACAAGCTATGAAAACACCTCTTGTTCATCCTTGTATTCTCTATACACGCCGTGTCACTAATGTGAACAATCCTAAGGAAATTGACTTCCCTTACTCTAGCCCTCCCACGATGGTCTACTGACACTCTCCTGCGTCTATTTCTCCGGTTTTCAGCAATGCGTAACAAAACAGCACATATACTAACAAACATGTTAGTCAGTTGATGAAAAAACTCCAAATGAGTAATGAGCACGAGTATGACATTAAACTCCATTCCATTGTCGATGGCCATTATCTAACACGTCAAGGACAAAAATTTTAAGTTAAGTAATTACCAAAAAAAAGAAATATCTTACTCATCGAATAACAGATAATGAACATTCTTCTAATATTAAAATCAATAAAATGAATTTAAAATCCAATGACTCTCAAAAGCAGAAAAGTTAACAATGTTATATTATATCTCTCTAAATATTAACATTGTTATATTATCAAGTTCGCAACCTTTACAGCCAATTGACTATCAAAAGCATAAAGTTAATAAAGAATTCAGAAACAAATAAACCTAATTTTTTAATGACTTGTTTTTGTAAAAATGCAGTTTTGGTTATAACATCTAATAATCCAACTATTTTTCAATAATTTCCCGACTGCACATAACAAGGCGACCAAGAGCATTTAGATCTGAAAGAAAATAGTTCATGTTTTATTTGTCAGTATACATACAGTTGAAAAAAGACTTTTATTTTAAAGCAACAAAATGTAAACATATAAACAATTATTTATAATCTCTAAGATTTTATATTACGTATAAAGAGTAAACCCTATAAGCATAAACACCCCAAAACCGCTAAAATATTTATGACTTATAGAAAAAGACAAAGTTAACATGTCAAATATAATTAACAACTCATGCTTTCATGTAGGACCTGTAAAAAAAAATGCTAGTTAACCTAGTGAAGTTAAATAACTTCATATCAATTTCGAACCTTTTCCCCTCACATGCTATTTCATTTTGTATACAAGCCTTTTTGACTTATTTTCCACTACGATGCAAACAAGTTCATTTGGCATGCTGTAATCCATCATCATAAATACTGTGCTATTTGAAGCATTGTCTTACAAACATAAAATTAGTTTAATTTAATAGACCAAGAGAAGTTTCCAAAGTATGGAAAAAAAGTATGAACAGTTCATTATTGATTGTTTGGTTGTTCCTGATAACAGGGAAACATTCTCCTTTAAACTAGAGTCATAATAATAAATCAACCCTTTAGGGATCTGTTTGCACATATTTCAGCTTAACAAACCAAAGCTAACTCTTTGTCCTAGCCAAATCATCACAGAGTAATTTGAAAAAAAATTAAAACATATAAAACAAGATGGTAAGGGAAAGATGATATCATGATAGTAATTCAAGCAATCAGAGAATGTTCTAATTTTTCTTTTTTAATCGAAACAAATCAGAGAGAGGGGGGAAAAAAGGAAACAAAAGATAGTACATTTGTTAAAAGGAAAACAAGTTCCTAACTTATTAACCTTTTTAATATCTTTTCCCCTTCCTTATCTTATTATCCATTTCCATTTGTCATTCTCTTTCTCCCTTTCTCACCCTGACTACCCTACCACACCCGTCGACAACAGAAACAATCAAATCTATGCACTGCAACTAATACTTAAAATTGATTGAATGCTTAAAACCCCCATCACACCCTTTAAGAAACTCTAATTAAGTACCCTTATCTCTTGCATTCACTGAGCCAACCCTCCATCTCAATATGCTAATATTTTTTTGTTTTCCAAGCCTTGAAATTTATTGTCCTATATATATATATTGCACAACACAAAACAAAACTTAGTAGGAGGAAAATTTACATAACTGAAGCCAAAACAGGATGACATACACATACTTGTTTGGTTTGTAGGAAAGCTTGTGATAGGCAAGGATGGAACTATTCCCAGCACAACCAGACTTCTCCTGAAGACAAATCAGCCCTCCAAACAGCAAACCCACTTCAAGTTGCAGGAGAAGTACTACAACAGAATTCAGACATGGACTTGGGGTTTTGGAACAGAGGTTTGGACTCTAGCCCAACTCCTTATCATCATCATCATCAATGTCCAAAAAGGATACTTGCTTTGATCATGACCTCGACCAACTCCTTATCATCATCATCCTTTAGATTCCAAAACAGTAATACCAATCCCTTTTACTTCCACAACCAACCACTTTTCCACCACCACCACCAACAACAACCACATATCCAAAGCCTAAGCCAAGAACTTGGTTTTGTGAGACCCATCCAAGGAATCCCAGTATACCGAAACCCTCCTCCAATGCCATTCTCTCAACACCAACATCAACATCATCACAACGTCATAAATTTTTAATATTATTAACATAACTTTCAACACCTACTTCCCCTAAACCCAAACTGATCCAAATCATTTTAAAAAAGGTTGAATGTCTCAAGGGTCCATAAAATAAGCGTATGAATACATTTTATAGAAATGGATCAATTATAGGACATGACAAAATTAAAATTTTAACTTCTACGTAAGAGTTCAACAAATAACATATACACGCGGCTAACACCACTTACTTGATCTGGACAATGAACTTCAAGTGATGGAGAAGTATGATGCAGCTAACACCAGCATGTACCGAGACAGAGAGGACAACTCTAAAAATATGACTGAACGAGCTTCAACTGATGTGGTTCTGCTGAGTTACTCCTTTGCAAAACGGTAGAGCAGATACAAACGTAAATTACAAGGAATAATCTCACAAAAAGCTCTATAATTGGTCAAGCAGTCTCATTTTTAATTGGATTTTTATTAACCCAAAAATTTGACAATACGAATTCTCCTACTAGTTCATATATACAAAAACACACATATCATATATTAACACAAAGATCTGCATGTGTAGAACAAAATTCTCAATTCAAATAGATAACAAAAAATACTTCATGAAAAATTTCAAATAAAAGGCACCCAAATAATCTACATCAGAATAAGCCTTGTGGGGAAGAAAGTTGTCCACTTTAGACTAACCCCTTTCGATCTATTGCCCCTACGGTTAAAGATACAGGGAAAGCTTTTGATTTAAAAACCTGTAAAATGGTTTAGGCCAGAAATTAATGTTTACCCGTGAAGAACTATTACAAGAAGAAACATGTTTTACTCCTATAGAGGTGGTTTGTCATAACCTTCTTTTCGTTCTTCCTTCTTGTCCTGTTAATATTTTTACAACTTTGGACATAAAGAGGATGAACATAACTCTACAGAGTAATCTAGCTGAGTTGAAGATAAGCTTTGGGTTTTTCATTTTGATAAACGATTTACGAATCATCAACAGATCATATTCCATAAACAAATAGAAGCTGGGTGAGGTCGATAGTCATGGAAAGCAAACCTTCTGTCGAAAACCACCTTGCTTTCTTCCGGTCGCTACTTGCAGGAAGGTGCTCTAAGGAAGAGAACCTACTGCGCCCTAAGCTCCTGACCACACACTGAAGATTGCCATCGTATTATCTATGTTAACTTTTGAAAGGGTATATTGGTTACGAAAAAATAGCACAAACAGTGGTTTACCCGTGTTTTTACAAAAATCCACGTACGAAATAGCTTTTCAAACAGTACCGAAACATGTTCTTTTACATTTAAATTGAGAAAGCTATGCATTTTGAATAACCAGCTTTTTGTGAGAATCTCTTCTACCAAACATATGTATTCTGGAATCCTTCACTCAGTTGCCTAGGAAAATTGAGGAAAGACCCCAACCAAACGCCCCCTTCAGGAATTCTTCCCGTGCAACGTACTCTGACCATCGAAATGATCTTGCTCCTCAGCTGCTTCTCGCCACGATCGAGAAACTTTAGTGGTCCGACGGGAGTTTTCAAGTCCTCCCGAACCTCCACAACATCCGGTTGCACCGCGTGCGAAGGATCCGCTACAAACTTGCGAAGTTGAGACACGTGGAACGCGTCTTGGGTGCTATCCAAGTTCGAAGGCAAGGCAAACCGGTAGGAAACAGATCCTACTCTACCACGTAACTGGTATGGTCCAAAGAACCGCGCGCTCAGTTTACTCACTCCAAGTGCCCGAACAACACCGGTGACAGTGAAAGTTTCACAAACACGTGCTCACCCAAACCGAACTCCAAAGAACGATGCTCAACATCAACGTAGTTCTCCTGACGACTCAGTGCCTGCATCAGTTTTCCTCTGATCATCTGTCCCGACAGATGGTAAATCAGACAAGGTCCAATCCAAACAACTCTTTTTACCTCCAATTACAGACCAACAGGTAGGAGTTCTACACCTCCTACCAAACAGTGCCTCGTAGGATCCCATGCCCAGGCTAGCAAGGAACACACAACCACAAAACTCTACCAATGACAGGTACCTATCCCATGCAGGGCCCTGCTCCAAGGTGCACGCCCTCGACATGTCCTCCAAGATCTGAAGGGTCCGCTCAGTCTGTCCTACAGTCTGAGGGTGATAGGTTGTACTCAGTCTCAACTGAGTTCCAAAAGCTCTCAGCAGCGCCTCCCCGAATCGAGATGTGAACTTCGGGTCCCTATCACTAATGATACTCTCGGGCACCCCGTGAAGCCTCACAATCTCGCAAACATAAAGCTTGGCCAACTGCTCTGACGAAAAGCTCACCTTTACCGGAAGAAAGCGGGCAGACTTTGACAATCTGTCCACAATGACCCAAAAGAGTCATTAACAGCCTAGGTCTTAGGCCAACCCATCACGAAGTTCATGGAAATACTT